GCGGCAGGGCCCTCGGAGCGCTACGTTTGCGAAGTGGCCGGGCTCCCTGGGTCGGTGACGGCTTTTGCTTTCCCCAGAGGTAACGGGACGGGCGGTGGGGTTGGAGCACCTGGGGCAACCGGAGGGCACTTTCCGTAGTTGAAGCGCAGTATTCTGTTGCGTTGGATTCGCGTAGCTGTTCTGCCCTTGCGGTCCAGCGTGGGGAGACGCTGTGAATTTTGGCCAAGAGGAAAGTGTGGAGTGCAAGATACCGGTACTTTATTTTGCTCATTTTAATTGGCAATAATGCCACATTTTTTTCTGAAGACTGTAATAAAATTGTAGTCTCAAATTTATTTTTGATTCAGTTGTCCAGAATTTTAAGTATTTTTTTAGTTGAATTAGTATTACGCACTTTTTGTATTTCAACAAGTAGCAGAAATGTAACTATAGGTACATATGCTTTATTGAAGGGATAGAAATACCCGGCGTTAGTGAATATTTGGGCCTTTGGATAACTGGTGGTGTCGACCAAAACAGGTGCTTTGATTACGATTTCATTGCTGTGACAAAGTCCCTGATGTCCACAAATAAAAGAAGGGAAGGTTTATTTTGGTTTAGTTCATAGAGGTTAGTCCAAAGTTGGCTGGTTCCAAGACGGTGGCGTGGCAGAGGAGGCAACAGGTAGCAGCAACAAGCCTGCTTTCTTTCTGTCCCTTTATGTTCCATCCAGGCTACAAGCCTGTTGATTGTTGCCACCCAAACCCAGCGTGGGGCTTTCTTTATCCACACCTGAACTATGCTAAGCCAAGTTAGTTATCCCACAACCATAATATAATCCCAGTGCTGCTCCCCTTGACGCAGCATCATGCCCGCCTGATCCAGCCACATCTCAAAAGCCCCATCTATAAGCGCAGAAGTCTTTGGAAGGACAACTAGATTCAAGCTTTCGCAACAGGGAAGCCAGGAGATGAAGTGGATTTCTGAGGAGTGTGAGAAATTGGTTTGGCATTTTGAATTGCAGGTATGTATAAGACATTCTCTTGAAAGGTGTTAGGATGGAAGTCGAGATGTTGAGTCATTTTTGTTGTTGTTGTTGTTTATTTTTTTGAGACAGTCTCACTATGTAGTTGAGGCTGACCTGGAACTCACTATGTAGCCTAGGCTGGTCTCGAAACTCAAACTCACTCAAACTTAGGGGATCCTCCTGCCTCAGCCTCAGGCATGTGCCACCATGCCCGGCTTGTTTTGGTTATAGTAACCATTTTCTTAGCATTTATAATATACTCTGAGTACTGAGCACATATTTTGTGCAGATTGTTCTAGAGGCATGATCACCTAGCAACAAAGAGATCCACACTTTCATTAAGCTCATTTTTTCTAGTGTTAAGAGATCAATAATATGTATTAAAAATAGATTAAATGATTATTAACACCAAAAAATAACAGAATTGGGAGATTGCATGAAATGACATTAAGGAGATATTTAAAAGGTGAATATATTGGATTATTTTTTCCTTATCCTAGGTGCTTTATTGGTAGGTAGATTTTTCATTAAAATTATATTCTTTTGTTTGATCCTCAGTACCAAAAAAAAAAACAAAAAAACAAATTATATTCTTTTGGGCTGGGGATTTAGCTCAGTGCTTTTGCTGCCTGCCTTGCAAGCACAAGGGCTACAGTTCAATCCCCAGTATGGAAAAAAAAAATTTTTTTTTATTTTTGGGGGTCAGGGATTTAGCTCAGTGGTGCCACCATCTGCCTTGCAAGCACAAAGTCCCAAGTTCTATCCCTGGTACCAAAAATACATATACATTCTTTTTCTTTCTTTGCTTTTTTTTTGGCAATCTAGCTATGTAGTTCAAGCTGGCCTTGAACTTACTATGTAGGTCATACTGGGCTTGAACTCACTGTATCACCCAGGTTGGCCTTGAACTCGTAGCAGTCCTGCCCAAGCCTCCAAAGTGCTGGGATTACTAGTGTGCACTACCATGCCTAGCCCTTTGATACTTTTTTTAAAAGATCTAAATTTTGGATTCATTCTTAAAGTACATAATTAAGTTATTGCAATAATATAGTACTGTGTTAGCTTTCAAACTGCTAGGACAAGATCAGGAGACACCTATATATACAATTTTATTTCTGCAATGTAGTAGTGAGTTACCTCACAAAAATCTCTGCAGCATTTGGGGGGGGCTTATCTTTTTAATACAGCCATTCGTCTGTACTTTGAATTTCATGTCAATTGGTAGAGCAATATGCCTGATTAAAAGAGTTGTCTTTTCATCCTCTCATGCTCTCTCTCTCTCTCTCTCTCTCTCTCTCTCTAACAGGGTCTTGCTTTATCACTCAGCTAGCCTCAGACATCTGAGTTTAAACCATTCTCTTGCCTCAGTCCCCAAGTAACTGAAGAGATAACATCATTTAGCCCAGCATAGGTTTTTTTTTTTGAAGATAAAATATTTCATAGATTTACAGTTTACATAATATGTCTCTCAGATCCTTTTTTTTAAAAAATTTACCTAGTTTAACTCAAATGCTCATTATAGTTTTGAGGGAAAGTCATTGCAAACTTTCATGTAAATTTAATTTGAAGATAGAAAGGATTGTTGAATTGATTTTTTGGATTACTTTTGAACATGAGAACATTTTTTGCCAGGCACAAAACTAGGAATTTCCAGAATGAGGATGCTTGCTTTTTGTTTTTAAAATTCATGAGATATTTTAAAGCTAGTGGTCTTAATATTGTTAGCTAAAAGCAACCTTATATCTAGGGCCATCTTCTCAGAGATAAGAATAAGAGATGCCTCACCCAGCTCTCAAATGGAGGAGAGGCCAAGAGTATTTGGTCCCTTACAACAGAGAATGACCGTTCTGACCACTGAATTACTGTGCTGTGTGAAGGACCTCTCTTCAGCATCCTGTTCACCTCTCCCTGTGTGCATTATTCACTTATCTTTGGCCTGTGAAGTTCCTGTTTTTATCTGTTCTTGCAACTGTGTACCCTTGGTTGCTATAGGGTGATACATGTACCCTATACCCTAAACGTGTGGGCTCTCAAAGGAGGAAGCATTTCTGACTCGATGAAAGCAATATAAATCCCTCCTGTCTCTCCAAACTGAAATAAAGCTGACAGAAATGTTATTTTAGTTTTGTCACATCCTGCTGGGGTCTGGAGAGCTAGGTCAGACACAGACACAACCCTATTTCTTTTTACTTTTTTTTTTTTTTTTTTTTTGGTTTTTTGAGACAGGGTCTCACTATGTAGTTGAGACTGACCTGGAACTCACTGTGTAGCCTACACTGATCTTGAACTCAGTGATCCTCCTGCCTCAGCCTCCCGAGTGCTGGGATTTCAGGTGTGCGCTGCCATGCCCGGCTAAGACAACCCTGTTTCTGTGTCTTTCTCTCTCACTACCTGCCACCCTGGGTTCCTGCCCTCACTCCAGCAAAGAATAAGAAGTGGGGTGAAGCTGGCTCAAGCCTAAAGCTGTAGATGGAAAATGAAGAAGTCAGAAATGAAATGGTCTGAAGCAGAGGATTATTTATGATGTTGCACATGCAGGGAAAAGCTACCTTGTAATAAGGTAGAGGGAACTTGACTAGGATCTTTGCCCTGCTTATACTTATAGGGGTAAGCTGGTCCCTGAAAATAACTGTTTCACTGATTGGTGTACTCTGAGCCAATCAGCATCTTAGCCTTTGTGTCTGGGTTAAGGAAAAAGGTCGGGAGGCTAAGGGCATGCATTCTTGCATTTATGTAATAATTTCACAAGAGCTAGCTTCCTCCAGTCCATAGTGCACAGTAAATCTGTGGTGAACACAATTTTCAGTCACTCAGGTGATGCCCTAATTCCCTGCCTACACCCACCTCTAACCATCGCTACAGTTTCAAAATTTATTGGGATGTCTTTGCATTAAAATAAATTTTGGGCTCTGGGTGTGGTGGCGCACACCTGTAATCCCAGCACTCGAGAGGCTGAGACAGGAGGATCTCTGTGAGTTCGAGACCAGTCTGGGCTACATAGTGAGTTCCAAGTCAGTCTCACCTACATAGTGAGTCTCAAAAAAACGCCCCAAAAATAAAAAAATAAAATTTGGGCATTAAAAACACAATAAAGAGTGGTAATTCTTTTCAGGGGTCATGGTGATTTGCTTTAGGTTCCACTGGCTGTGTAATTATAGAATTGTTCATTTAATACTTTTTCCCCAGTTAAAACTACTTTATTGAACATGTAGAGAGGAGATGTAAGCTCTAAGAATGCAGAAAAGGAAAAAACTAACGTTACATAAAGCACTTGACAGGAAATAGGAATCGTTTTGCCAGTCCACCATTTAAACTGTGCAATAAGTGGAATTATTTTTTTCTTAATACAAGAATGGAGAATTACATGTGGTCTTTGACTCTTTTTCCCGTAATTGTTGGAACAAGTTCTTTGATGCTTTAAATACCTTGAAAATATCATTCATAGGAAAATGGATGCATATTGAGGTTATACTCTTAAGTGAAATACATGTCACACATGTGTAAATACCAAATAGTTTCTCTGGTGTAAAAAACTGTAATTGTAAAGAAGATCCTAATGGTATAATTGACAATGTGTAATAGGAAGAAAAGGGCTAAAGGTGTAGGGGAAGTGGGTAGGGTAGGGGAAAGGAAATAAGGAAAAAGAAAAAATATGAGAAAATGAAAAAATGGAAATAAAGTTTTTTGTAAATAGAAAAGGGAGGAGGGGGTGAAGGGAAGACAGGGGTATGGGGAAAAAATGAGAACCAAGATCTGTCATGTAAAAAGGTACAAGATCCCAGTGATGAATGTAACTGTACTGTATACCTAAAATGTATCAATAAACTCAATGAGGAAATAAATAAATAAATACCTTTAAAATAGAAGGAAGATGGAGCCTAAGGCTTTTTTTTTTTTTTTTTAAATATTGTTTGGAAGAAACATTGTTGTACTTAATCACTTTTTTCCTATTTGGTCATTTATACTTTTATTTCCCTGCTTGAAATGTATGCAGAATATTTGTGTTGAAAATCAGTCATTTACTTATCTTTTGTTACTAAAAACTACATTTTTGGGTTTTTCTCTAGTGGCTGCCGGAAGAAGTACGATGTGGTCTGAGGGACGATACAACTACGAAAGTCTTCCAACAGAACAAGTACCTCCTCAGACTGACCCCAGTGTAAGTTCCTCCTACACACAGAATCACAGAGAAGCTAGTGTGTGAGTTTACCTCATAGAGCAAAGCTTGGCCTAGGAACATCTTCAAGTGGCAGAAATTAATGAAAATAGGCCAAGCTATCTCTTTTTTTTTTTTTTTTTTTTTTTTTTTTTTTGGTTCTAGGGTTCAAACTCAGGTCCTTGTGCTTATGAGGCAGGTGGTGGAACCACTAAGCTAAATCTTCAGCCCCAAGCTTATCTCTTAAAAGTTAGAAAACAAACGGCATTTTATTAATGTAGAAAATCTACATTTTGGGCTGGGGATTTAGCTCAGCGGTTCAGTGGCCTGCCTCGCAAGCACAAGGACCCAAGTTCAATCCCTGGTACCACAAAAAATAAATAAAAAGAAAATCTATATTTTGTATTGCTTAAACTATAAGAACAAATACTTTATATTGAATTTAATTTGTGAAGTTTTAGCATATAAAAGTCAGACTGTGCATTAGTATTTGAGCATCTGCTCTTGCTATTGGCTGTCATGTATTTGTCTCTGTTCTTAAAAATGTTTACAGATTGAACGTATAAAATTGAAAGAGTAGACTTGCATTTTAGAGGAAGCCCAAAGAGGAAGTCTTTAGAGGAAGTCTTCCCGGAGCCCAAACATGTTAGTGTTCTTGTTTAGGGCTCCTGTGGGGCGCTTCCCTTGGTCATTTGGCACGGCCAGTAAGATCGCCTGTGGGTGCAGGCAGGCAGTTTGCCGTCTGTCCTCCTGCTGGTCTCTGTGGCTCTGGGAGTTGGGAATTTTGAGCTAGGCCTTTCTCCTAGGAGTGTGCTGTTTTGCCTACTGTACCCAGTATCCGATCTAGTACTCAACAGGAGCTCAGTACTTATTAAATGAATATAGAACACATCCCCCTCCCTTCCTTTGTCCTTCCGTCCCTATCTCCCTCTTCCCCTTCTTTCTCCCTCTCTCCCTCTCTTTCCCCTCCCTCCCTCTCTTCCTTTCTCTTTCCCTCTCTCCCTCTGTCCCTCCCTCTCTCTGCCCCTCTCTCCCCCTCTCCCCCTCTCCACCTCTCCCTGTCTCCCTCTCTCACCTGTGACCACAGCCCTCTAGAGGCTGAGGCAGGAGGATCGAGCGTTGGAGGCCAGTGTGGGCTAAGGAGCAAGGCCCTATTTCAAATATAAGAAACAGCAGCAGCCACCATTAAGTTGTGCACAGGCCCTTCTAAGCACTAGGCCAGTCAGGTTGTGGCAGTGATGTGTGGAGATATCACAAGTCGGTTACACAGCATCAGAGGGCATAAATGCTTGTTTATATGTAAGTTAGTGTTTTCTATTTGCAGTACATTATTTATTCATACAACTCGCTGAAGTGGACAGTGTCTTTTTCAGGGTCATCGTCACTGGCCTAGATCATAGCTTACATTGGGCTTGATACAAGGTGATTTAAGTTGGAAAAATGAAGAGGCTGTTATATTTCAGGATAGACAGGCTAACTTGTTACCATATGTCATTTTTTCCTGGTTAGTATGTACACTTCATGTTTATAATCAACCCAATGTTTAAAATTTTTTTTGACTTGATAAAATTATTGGACAGTTTTCCTGAAGGATGAACAAATGATGTAGGTAAATGTGGTGTAGAAGGAGGTGAGGGATGGGAAGAAATTAAATTTTAAATACTGTATTCCTAGTACCACAAAAAGGGGGGGGGAGACATGTGATAGAAGTCCTCAGTGAATGAATGTTTTAGATTAAAATTTAAATAAAACTAAAACATTAAAGTATTTTTATTTTGTTTCATTTTTAAAAATATTATTTTCTATTTGTTATGTGAAACAGACTTTTTTTCTTCAATAAATATTTTGTACAATAATAAGCAGGTAGGGAGATAATGTTTTTAGGAGTACCTTTATAACCAGGCTAGATGATGAGTCTCTCTTCCTTGAATTCTCTGGCTCCTTGGTTCCTCGTAGAAGAGGAGGAACCTCAGTTACTTTTATTCTTTTGAAATCACAGAACCTGCCCAGAACTTGTACAGATTAATTCCTTTCCTTTTTCCTTTTTTTTTTTTTTTTTTTAACAATAACAAAGTTTCATTGTAGGTAGGAAAAACACAGGCTCGGCAGGGCCTCTTTGGGCCAAGAAAAAGTAGAAAAAGATGTACACCCTACAGAATAAAGGTGGGCCATCATCCAAGAGAACATAGTGGTAAAAACTCAGTGTGGGCTGTCCTTTTAATGCCACCTATTCCCCAGGCTGTATCAGGTCTAGGCTATTCTATAGAAAACCTACTTGAGGGCCAGGGATTTAGCTCAGTGTTTCCGGCTCCTGCTTTGCAGTCACAGGGACCCATGTTCAATCCCTGGTACCAAAAAAACGAAGAAAAAAAGAAAACCTGCTTGAGTTCTCACAAGAAGTCCACGTGCAGGGAGGACTTTAGAAACTGTCTATACATAAGTTCTGGAGAGTTGTCACACCTCTTTTCCCAGATAGTTTTTGCCATACCCTACCTTCTTGTCTCATTCCCCCCCCCCAAAGAGACACATACCGCTCTAATTCCTTATGGGGTGCTAAGGAAATGGAGACCTTTGTCTTGTACAGCTTCTGGCTGGAGGCCCTACCTACATGGAATTAGGAGCTCTCCAGCTAAATTATATCTCTGGCTGGGTGTTAGAGGATAATGAGAAAAGAATTATCGACTTTTGAGCTGTCTGTTTGATGGGAGAAAGACAGTAGCTTTATTATTATGTTAGATGTAGAACCCAAATAGGAGTAGATCAGGTTTCCACCTTTCTTTTGGAGGACAGAGTACACTATGGCCAAGAGGGGGGTTAAGCTGAAGACTCATAGAATTATCCACCTAAGGGATCTATGTAAAAATGAGCCCATTTAATCTGTGGTGAATTAGGGTCATTGGCAAATGCTTATCTACAGCTGGAGCAATACTGGAGTCTTGCATTCTGAAGAACAGCTTTCTAGAGGTTTTGAACAATAGCTTTCTTCTCAGTCCTGTGAAAGTTCTAGTGACCATTTCCCATGTAGGATTTTCATAACTTGTTGCTACATCACTTGAGGATGGACCAGAATGGTTCCTTAGGAACTGGAAATAAGGCTAGGGTATTGAGGTACTGCAAGGCTGCTCCTCTTGCCTCCCTCCAGCCTTTTGATTTCCCAAAGAGATTTTAGAAATACCTCCTCGGTGTCCCTTACAGTGCATGACTGCAACCTCCTTCAGAAGATAGACTGCCTCCAGGATTTGTAAAGTTTTTTGCTTCTATTTTATAGATGATTCTTACTAGTCTTTCTTAGTCCTTATCTGGTCCTTCTTTCCAGATTGTTGCATGTGTAGCACCAAAAAGGCATTTTTGGAGTCTGTGTAGATAATTTCAATGCCCAAGTAAGAGGTATTAGTCTTGCCTTTCTCTGGTCTTGGACAAAACTACTTCCATCAGTGCAACATACCTCTTCAGGGTCTTGCAGGGGCAGGTCACTAATGTCCTGCCTGTTTGCATAGGTCTGGAGGATCACTTGTTCTCAAATGTGGCTACTGTCTGGACCTGTAGGCATTAGAGACACAGGATAAGAGTAGTGCAGGTTTTTGTAATAACTTTAGATATGTCTAAGAGCATATCCTGGTACTTGGCAAGCCATTCTCCTGTTAATCACAAATAACCTTTGACTTGAAGAACTGCTCTGACCTTACAGGAAGTCAGGACTTTCTGTCCTAAAGCCTTCCTCTGTTAGCATAACTATATCTGCTAGTGCTTTCTGGTAGGGTGTCCATTCGGCAGCCACTTTGTCTAAGTTTTTGAAAAGTATGCCACTCAGTAGAGTTCATGCCTAGCCTTTAGGTCAAGACTCCCAAAGTAGTTCCTCTCTTTTTGATACATAGAGGAAGAAGGATTTTCTTCAGTCAGGTATTTTATTAAAGCCACCCAGCACATTCTATCTTTTGGCTAACTAGATCTGAGAGACCTGGCATAGTCCCAACAAGTAAAATCTGTTTTAGCGTTTGTCAGAATTTGGCTATTGCCCCCAATTTGCTAGTAACTGTTCCTAGCAAGGGAGTAAAATACTGTGGGATAATGAGAAACTCGTGGTTCAGTGTTTGTTCTTCAAAGTGACACATCAGAGCAGGAGTAATGAATCTGACCAGGTGTCCCCTTGACCCCAACTATGGCTGTAGATCTAAAGGAGGGTTTTCCAGAAAAGGAATTCAGAATTTAATAAAGTAATTGAATTAGCTCATCCATGACATCCGGGATTACCCAGAGCTTCTCATAGGAAATGGTGATGTTCATGGACGGGGCATTGTAGGTTCCCTCGGGCCTCTTCAGAGGGACAAACAAGGGTTTGGATGACCTAGCCCTCTCTGAGCAGGGATGGTCAACCTCTCCAGTGCTGTGAGTCAGGCACATTGGCCACCTCATGCTCAGAGCAGGGCCCAGTGAGGAGCTTAGTGTAGTCAGGTGCCCAGTTTGCAGTCTTCTGAGACTTGAAACAGGCAATCTTTACTCAGTTGTCTTTGGATTTTCCCCTAGAAAATTAGGGTGAATTTAAAGCATTGCCAGTTGCAACAGCTAAATTCTAGCTTTTCTCCTTTGACCCTCCCCCAGATCTTGATTGTTGGACACAAAAAGGCCATGTCTAACAGTTAGGTGTCATAGGTGTCATTAAATAGGTGGGATCTCCTATCTCATCAGTCAGGTGGGGATTGAGGACAACATCATCAAAGATATCTCTAGATATTGTAGTTTCTGGGTTTTTCCTAAGATAAATGATCACAGAAGGCTGAATATGAGAGATTTCATGACACCTTAGAAGTGGAAGCCCACATGTTCCCTAAATAATCGCCTGAGCTCCTACCTGCACGGGTTAGATTTTTCTGGTTACCTTGAGGTCGCATGAAAACAAACATGGGGAAACGAATGTGGCTGATCCAGAGTATCAGCCAGTCACATGACAAGACAAGGTGATGACCCTGATTAAGTTAATACCCTGAGAAAGAAGTGGCCATTTA